TCTAGTTAATTTAAGCTATTTTTGTAAATATAAATGTGTCTATGTTTTCAGGTGAGTTATCTGATTTCGTAGTTCAGTCAATTCAGTTTGAACGAGTCGTTAATAATGCATGGCAGCTCAAAACGGGGGCTTTTTATCGGAGGATGATGAGGATGATGGATATCCTATATAAAATTACGCTTAAATTAAGCTACAACTTCGATTACTTACTCTGCATCAAACCTTTAGAAACAAAAAAATATTTCCCTGTTTAATACACATATACGACATTCCAAAAGGATTCCATCGTCATTAAAAAAAAGTTAATAAGTCGTTTTTTGTTCCAAGAAAAATCGAATAATGCAACATAAAATAGAATAATTTATTAAAAGTGACCTTCTCTGATATGAATAAAAATTTTGATTAAGCTTGTAATATTCTGTTAAAGAAAGAATATGACACTTATATGGGGAAATACCCCTAATGTGAATCCCCAAAATAAACACGGGGCCGGTGGTATTGAAGTCCATGATAAGCGTGAACCACTGAAAATGTCAGCGTCTTTGAAGTTTCGTTTTCCCCGATCCGAAACACACATATTTCTGTAAAAACGATATAGCAATAGAATCCCTGAGTTTATGACATGATTGTATTCTTCTATAAAATATATATATATATATATATAAAGAAGAAATGTTGAGCCCAGAGCAATGAGATTGTTACGATGCCGATACTTTGTGCAGACACAGTTTGACTCTACAATATCGAATTTTGAAATAATCGGTATGTAGTAGTTAACAGTACGGCCCGTAATCAGTTTGCAAATCCATCCATCATTTGCGAGACTACAATTTTAATATTAATGTTCTTTTTAACAGATGATAAAACTTTTGAAATTATATCCTTTACAGAAAAAAATAATATAATACACACTGGAAAAATAAACAGGTTTTTTATACGATGATAAGTACTGATCTTTGATAAATATTTTTACAAATTGACTGGAAAGACACCTACCTTTTTCGTATTTTATGTATTAAATTTTACTAAATTAAAAAAAATGTCGATTTCTAATTCATTCAATATCTACATTTGGTAGAATCCTTATTCTTCATAGAAATATTTCCACATGTTAGAGCTGCTTTTTTTAAACGTCGTTTGTACTAACTCCCATATATACAAGTTTACGTATAGTTCTTGCCAGAGTTGTTTTTAACCCGTCTGCAAACGACACGATTATTTCAAGAACTTTCAATTACAAAAAGAAAGAAATAAGAAATAACAAGGGGGATGGGAGGGGGGGGGGGCGCCAGAGATCGGGTATTGGTGGTGATGTTGTACATGAGTAAGTGAATATTAAGACAGTGTCAAATGATAAGAATTGATTTAATTATATAAAACAGTAACACAAGAATTTTTTTTCTTGTTTTTTTTAAGTCATGTGATACTTAACGCAGCAGGTAAGTATCGTTTGTCAAGAAAAGTGTCATACTGACAGTGTTGGACTCTGTGTGAAAGTAAAACTAGGTTGTAAATAAATGATTTCATAAAAACAACTGCCCTGGTTATGAAAAATGAATTCATTCTTACTCTCCCTTCTTTCTCTCTTCCGATTGCTTTATTTTTCTCTCAATAGATCGAAGTGTCAAACGATGAAAATGATCACATTTTGATTGATAAAACATGCAAACATCTTGCAAATATGCAATGGAATTTTTAAAAAGAGATACTTGCTTGTTTGAAGATCGTATATTTATACTAGGTTTTAGCCATGAATATTATATTCTTTAAAATTAAGCTGCAAAATGACATGATAGTTTTTAAACATTGCATAGCTTTGAACAGCGATTGGGCCTTACTGACGTCATATGCTAAGGGAGATAAACAACGTTAGTCAAAGTGAATTTTCACGACTGAGTAATTTTGATCAACTGTGCTGTAGCTATCTTGCGTAAAAAATCCAAAAAACAATTTCAGTCTAATTTTACCAGCTCATATGAACTTATTCCCGTATGTAACTCAATATGTTCAGGTAATTGTCTCCTATGACCTTTTTAAAAGTAGACTAATGTTACAGTCAAACATTTGTTTATTATAAAAAGGTTTTTCCCCAATAAGAATCATTAGATTATAAAATAAAGGTGAATCACCAGAAAACCTCAGACGTTTTCTCATGATTTGTAATATTAACTAGGACCTAAAGACATCTATCCAAAATTTATTTTTCAAAGTTTTCAGAAAAGTTGTGACTTAATCCCACAGTTTATAAATTTGTCTAAGTTAAAATTTGGGATTAGGTGTTCCATACCCCTATTTCTGAAAAAAAAGTGTCTTATCCAAAATAATTTTATAGAAGATATAAAAGACTTAAGGTTTAACATTTTCAATCCCCCATCTTCATAATATAGTACTCTCCCCACTCCCCTAGACACTTGCCACTCCCCTAGAGTTTTTGGAGTATGAGCTGAAAAGGTACTGGTATCCCCCTTACTCCGTTTTCAACATTGCATGAAAAATGTGCATCTTGCAAACAGTAAATATTATGTTATATTTAAGGCTCTTAACTAAATAAAAGCATCCTAGCGCTTTGCAATATCATCTAAACTTTGGCAGTTGACTGAAATAATTTTAACCGTTTAGAATAATTAAAAGACGTTTACAAGTTGATACCCACTGAACCCATGAACTTATGTTGAAACTTGAAAGAAAATAGGGAGAAAGAAGAAAGTAAGAGCACAAACATAACAGTATAGATGAAATTAGATTATTGCACTTAAAAACAGTTCAACTGAAAATCAAGCTGAAAATCAAGCTGACTACCGTGATAGATATGAGTTATGACTTCCTATTTTCATTTATATTTTGTATTGTATCTGGGTATTTTCACATAATTTATAGCGTCTTTTCTGTATGATGGATTTTATTCCTAAAATTTATGTCGACTTAAAAAATATTGTTTTGAAAAAAAATCTTATCATGGGATTTAAAGATATCAATGTAATTAGTTCGACATACTACAATAAAATATATGCATAATTGTTAAATTGATATACATATACTAGTATTTCTAAGGGAAAAGTTTAAAAATATTGTTTTCCAACTACATATAACTTCGCGGGCGCGGTAATTCTAATGAAACATCTCTCAGATTTATTGACGCCACATACTCAATGTGCCATGCCTAAAGTGTCATATATTTGTTGTATGATTATAGAGAAAAACGTATAAAAGAAGAAGGGGTTGAGAGGGACATGATCAGTAAGATTGTCCCCATTGAAGCAAATATCAATTTACATAACTCTAATAAGAAATGAAATGTATATGCAAGTCTAGCAATAATTTAATATTTATTCTTATTAATAAAAATCAACAATCTCTCCTTGAAATAAAAATTATGCGCTTGCAAAGTATTCATAATAATATTGCCATGACTAAAAAAAAAAAAAAATTATGACAGCCCCCCCCCCCCCATTGTTTCAATATTCATAAATATATTTAGTACTAGTCCTATTCGTGGATGAAACGAATGTAGAAATTAATAACAATATTGTAAAAGTGACGCTGGCTATGTACTCTGTAAATATTTGACGTTTTATTAATCTGTGATAGTAAACATAGGATTTGCCACATTGACGTGAACCTCCACAGCCCCCCCCCCCCCCCCAAACTCAATAAATATAAGCAGTGAATCATGACAGAATATGTATATCAAATAAAATTTTACTATCAGCACATCAGATATAACTTCTTATTACTTAGAATAATGTAAAATATGTTGTGCTTCATTGCAGCCAATCTTCACCAACTGTTTCAAAGTTTAAAGGGGAAAGGGTGGGGGTGAGCCAAATAAAATATATGACCAAAATACACACAGAGATTTAATTATGCAACTGCGAGTATTCATCTTTATTTTCGGGATATATTAGCGGATCTATACTAGATCTATACTCAGGTAAAAAGAAAAGTTGGAGGAGGGACACAAAGATACTCCTGTCTAGCCCCCTCTTCAAAATAGGCGATAGGTGTACAATAGCCCCTATGACAATGCTTATGATCTAACTGCCGATGACTCTCCATTCCTCCTCTTCAAAACATTATTGAATTTGTATCAGTCTATAATCGTATACGATAGTAAATACATGCATATATGGTACAGAAGCTTTCACTGAATCCAAATGAAGTGAAGATTCATTTGAACACCCCCCCCCCCCCCGCGAAGTTATTTCAATAACAATATTTTCTCACTTCATTCTCCAAAATATTTTTATATATATATATATATATTGATATCGGTATAACTTTATATTTATCTTTACATATCAACATTTCTATATTGAAAGGATTAAATATCTTGCTTTGATCAATATCTTAAAATTAATATTTTTTACGTCGATGATACTTACAGCAAAAAAATCAATTAAATAAAAATAGGTGCCTTAAATTATGTAAATATATCTGAATACTATTAAAAAATATGTGTATAAATAAGGAGTTATAACAACTTATATATTGACAAGACAATGAACTATAAGACAATATACAATTAATAACACAACAAGTGTAGAGAACTTTACGCTTCTGTACATGTAATGCACCGACGGATTTTTGAGGTGTCAGAACAATATGTTGACAGCTGATGGCCTAAACTGGGTATGGACACATTTTCATGTTTTGAATTTTTAAACATGTTAATAAGTGACAAGTTAACAAAAAGATCTCACAAGTCGACATAATTATCTGACAGGTAGGAGGAAAAATATGCCACCATACGCATGCACAAACAATATTGAAGAAAATCATTCAGCATGTACAAACAATTAAATAAAATCATCCAGCATGTGCTCATACAAACCTAGCCAAATTCTAAAATTCAGGAGGGAGGTTCAAAGGAGAAAAATATAAAAAATTCTGTAAAAGTAATAACTTTCAAAACTCTGGTCACTCATATTGTTCATTTATTTATTTATTTATATACATGTGTATAAGGAATTTTTCTTTGTCAATTCATGGTCTACGCTCCA